TGCAAATAAAAGGTCAAACGCATACCAGTGGAAAGACAGTTTTCGTGCGCGTCAGACAATGTTTTTCCGGCACTTTTATTAGATTACTGCAGCTACTCTTTAAAGCAAGCACACTCCCATTGACAAAAAAAGTAATTGTACCTCGTAAAACACAGGACACGCTTTTATACTGGTTGTTTTTGTCATTGTTGGACTTTAGTGAAGCCCAACTAAACCTTTTAAAACACTAAGATCACAAAACAACACAGATAAACTAACCGATTCTATCAACTACCATCAACTCAAGAATTATGCAAAGACAAATCTACTGTAATGTTCGGAAAGGGCATTCGAAGTAAAATATTCATAGATACACTTTTTTCCACAGTCACATTTTTCTTGGGCTTAAAAACATAAGAGATTGGTTTCAGATGCAATACATTGTTTAGCTTCAATATCAGTTATCAAGGCTGTGTCGGCAGTTTGAAGACACGTCGAACGTCATGTACTTCACCGCGTATAAGTACATCAAACAATCCCATCGTCAACAAATCTGAACCGTCCCTTCAATATTATACATATGTATTTGTCTAGTATCTGTCAAGACTCACTGTTATACATGAATACATCAGTTAAAGTGGCTTTCTTTACCACTATAAAAACATACTTTCTATTCAGTTCACTTGTTCAAATATATAATACAAGACACTTCAGAAGCCGACAACTCACCAGATTCCCAGACAAAAAACAGTTGGTTCTCCATTAGACGAGGAGAGCTTCTCTTCGCCGCAGTTCAAGTCACTCTGTCAATAAATCCACAATTTCTAACACGACTCGTCTGAAGACCAAACTGCTTGAAGTTTGGCGCACACACACACACCCTCATTTTGCTTTCCTTTGAAGAAATACACAAACACACATTTTCCCACGCAACACTTTCTCTTTGATTTCCCTTCCTGCATTAGGTCTATAATAATTAAATGTTCTTTTTGTTCTCATGTAGACATTTATTTATTTATTTTTTAACTGTGATGCAAGCCTCCAGTGTTCCTTCCTACGCTTGCACCGTGTTGCACTGTTTACTGTGTAACTGTCATTATATTTATTTTTTATGCACAAACAAATCAATTGCTTTGCAGGGAATCTGAAGGCTGACAATGATTTCAGGCGTATTTGTTGACAACACCGCTCCCATACGTCATGATGTGATGACATCCTGGGCTCATATCTGAATAATGTCTGATATTCTTTTATGTGAAAGTCACAAAAACAATCTTGCAAGGACGTAGTAAAATGTCCCAAACACTTCAACACTGCATAAATAACTCTTACTGATGCAGTGATGATATTGAATAAGCTGAACAGAGGTGGTTTAGTCTTTAAGGGTGTACTTAACTTTTGACGTTCTACGGAGAAAGCCTTTTGAGGGGAATGCTATAAGCAGGGATGCACATAAGTGGTACGCAGGTACGCATGCGCGGCAACAATCTGAAATGCGTACCGTCACTTGTGTCACAAAGCGCATTTGCGTACCGACGTACTTGTGAAGCGTTTCCAGAAGGCGGTTAGATCACCGGACGACAGAGTCGGTCTCCATGTGCACAGACAGGGCTGCTGTTAACGTCAGCAGCACTGCGCTAAAACAGCTGATCACAACGTTCACACGCTCTGTGGTCACGAAGCTCTGCACTCTACTACTACCCCCCCCCCCG